GTAAGCTGCTAGCGACCTGACCTCTGCCCCCGGTGCAGCAAAACGGCATGTATGTTCTGCTGGGATCAGGTTCTCCACCTTGGACAAGGGAAGATAAAGGCTTTGTTTAAAAATAAAGACATCACACTTGGGTTTGTCAGTGGTACTGTACATTTTCCCCTCTGCCACTCTGTTTACAGGCATACAAAAACAAAAATAAATGTATGAGGAAGAGAGAGGAAGGTCAGAATATCAAGTGTCAAAAGTAGCCCGTGAAATTTTATTGGTGGTGCATTTAATCAGTGCTAAGCGTTTTTTACAAGATACATACAAACAGTGGAATTGTAAAAATTTATGGAATGCTGTGTACAGTGTGGCTGTTTATGAAGAAAGGAAAATTTATATCCAGTTGAAATAAACCAAAGGGGAATGTTTTATGAGAACTCCTCAACAGTGGGGTACATCAGGTAAGATCTGAGTAAGGGGAGGAATGGGTATTTGCAGGGCTTGACTGATCTTTGAGGTGTTTTTCTGCCTCTTCGGCAGCTAACAGTTTGCATCTTTCTGTGGCTCTCAAATAGACAGGGTGCTGGATGCAGTGATGTATTTTTTTCCTGTACAATGGAAAGGAAACATAAGTGAACAGCTGCTCCTGGTATCTCTGGTACGAGGCTCTTGCTCTTGGGCCCGTTCCAGTCTAACAGTTTCTTGAGCAGCCCTTAATATCCAGCTGGGAAGGGTTAACTGAAGCCAATCACTTTGACATCAGCATTTTTTTGTTTCCCTTTTGGTCCAGTATTTTGTTGATGATAAAGCACAGACTTAGTCAATTGAGAGATTCCAGAGCTGCAGAATCAGAGATAATTTAATTAACGGAATTGCTTGTGATTGCCCACTGGGACAGCGGGTAGGAATTGCTCGATTTAATTTGGAGAAACAAAGATCACATGCATGCTAATGTTTGACAAATAACCAGCATTTGGTTTAAAGTTTTTTTGCAGGGGGGAGCCAATTCCCAGGGGAGATTTTTCAGGAGGTGATTGCTGAGTAACAGTTCAAAGCTACAAATAGGTCCTTTTTCCTTTTACATGGTATTTTTATGTCCTTCTGCTGACCTTTTACCTGAACAAAGCAAAGATTTGCTCAAAGGAAGAAAGTTGGTTCTTATTTTTAGCGCTGAGGGGAAAATGCTATGAACAGTAGAAAAACATTGCATTGGGCACAAAGACCGAAAACTATCACGTGCTGTCTGCCAGGTCTCATAGACTTGCTCCCTGGTACCCAGCATCCTCAACTGTGACTGCCAAGTTGTTGAAGAGTTATCCACAAAGTCCAGAGAGAAGTACAGGACCAAGCTTCCTCTGCGAGGAGCCCTCCCTTCATGTTTTTGCTCTTGTATAAACGTTCTTGCTCAGGCTCCCTTCTTTGTGGTGATGTAGGTCCACAGCGAGTAGATCGTGGATGTGCCCTCTTGATACGTTCTCAGCCAGGGAGGACAATGCAGGTATCAGCAAGGCCGCTCAGACCCGTGTGGTTGGAGAAGTACCGGCGCTGGGGCTCGAGGCATTGCTCTTGGCAGCAGTTGTGCTCAGCAGATCTCTCTGGAGGCTGATAAATGACGTTATCCAAACACGTCAAATCAGAGCACTGAGGCGCAAAATTGTTAAAAGAGTCCTCCCACATCCAGCATGAGGTCAAGGCAAAGCGGGGAGAGCAAGGCTGTGGAAGCCAGTTCCTTCTTCCCTGTAATTCCCTCTGCCTCCCTTGGCAGGGTAACTTGTACACAGCCTTACCCCATCCGTGGAGCTTGGCTTTCTGACCCTCACTCCACCCTGGCGTTACCCTGTAAAAATACTGCACAGGCTGCTCCCAGCTGTGTCCGGGCAAGCGCACACGAGGTGTGCACGCAAGAGGGAAGCCTGAGGGAGTTCCCAAGATTGCTGCTGCAGGAAGAGTTGCTCCTAAGCGATGCTTATCTTTAGGATACAAGCAGCAGGTTGACGGTAAAATGTCACTAAATGGAATGGCATGTGTCCCAAGTGTGCTGGCCACCACGGGAGCCAGACACATGGGAAGTGACTCTCGTCTTTATTCCATCCCTGGAGGTAGTTCCAGTTTCCTTTATTTACTAATGTTCTCCCTATTTCCCTTGACCTCATTTCCTCCGGCTTTTCGGAAGCAACCATGCAATTATCGCTCACTTTGGGTTGACCCTTGGCCACCACGTCCCTGGTTCCTGCTGCTCTGGGAGGCTTTCCTGAAATCTCAAGTGCAAAATACTCACTTCTGGCCAAAATCTCTCTCTTGTGAGATAGGAGCTGCGTCTTCGGCACTGTGCTGTGTGTCAGGTTTTGTCCTGAGAGCACGCTTAGCAGGGAGAACATGGAGTTCAAAGTCTGTCACAGCTGAGCTTTGATCAGTGCTGGGAGATATTGCAGTGGCTAAAGCTCCCTCTCTTACCAATGCACCCCAGTCTTGTTAATAAATGTATATTTAACAATGTCTGGAGCGTATGAAGTGATAATAACTAAATCAATACCTCCCACATTGATTGTCCAGGATCCCTACAGCGTGACGCACGCAGCGGTGCGGTAATTTTCCAGCTAACTAGCACCCTGATCTACAGCCCTCCTATTGATTGGCCATTGTATCAGGCAGCCTCTGAGCATTATTGCTTATACCTCTATTCAGCCTCCTTTTCTGATTCATTCGTTTATTACTGGACAGGTGCGATTATCTGAGAGACTTTCCGAAATTGGCCGATGGGGGTCAGCCATTTAGACTTCTATAAACAAGCCATTTTCTATCTCTTCTGGTTGTTGCAGAGGCAAATTTTTCCTTTTCAAGCTTTGACTGTTATTGGGCTGGGAGACTGGGGATGAATTGGCTTTTGCTTGGATCTGCTCAAGGATTCCACTTTTCTCTTTCCTTGCTGAGTCGCCTGCCCTTCAGAGGAGGACAGATAGCTCCATGGATAGTAATACGAGAATTTAGCAACGGTTGAGGTTCTGCTTGCCACTCACTTTGGGGAGGAGCCACACACACTGACTTTGAAAACTCCAGTGCTCTTATGCGTGCAGGAAGAAATGGATTCCATAAAGTCAAATTCAACTGCAGTCTTCATGCAGCGTCAGCTTGTTGATGGGCCAGACTGGAAAGGAAACAATTTTCTCATCCAACAATAATCTTCAAGCTATAAATAAATAATTCTGTTTCTTCCTTTGACAAAACTAACACCTTTCTAGACTTTCTTTGAAAACACTAACAACTCTTCCTTGAGGGGTGAGAACCCAAACTGGGAGATGGTAATAATTTATACCCATGAGTAGGAGCAAGTGGGTGTTTCACAGCAGGGAGCACTGTCTCCTACTGAAGCTCTTTCATTTTGCTCCAAAGAATATTTATTAATACCAAGACTTGAATCCGCAGTGTCCCTGTCCCCAGGCAGTTCTCACCTACTAGGCTATCATGGGACGTGTATTTCTTTGCCTTTTTTGCAGTTTTAAAATGGTTACCATTTCCTAGCAACTGTCATTTGCAATGAGTCTCCTTCTGATGAAGGTCTCTCCTTGGTTAGCTCGTGCAGAGAGTGTCTGATCTGTACAAAAGTAGGAGTGAAGCTGGAGGAGCTTTATGACACTGGTACTTAACAATATGCACTCCTGCAGCTCCAGTTTCTTCTGAAGTGTCATAATTAGAAAAATCACTCAAGATCTTTTCGACTAGCTCTGTTTCCAGAGCCTTGGGAAAAGCCAGCAGAGTCACCTCGTGGGAGATACCTCAGGTCCCTCCCTGTGTGCTGGCAACAAGTGACTAATGAACAAAGGAGTGAGTGTGTGCGTGCAGTGGGAGTGCTGAGATTGCAGCTCACTTTATTGGTTGTAGTAATTCCACTAGACCCATGTTTTAGCCACCTGTTGATGAATCGTCCTCTAGAAAGATAGACACATAGGTGCCACTGTGGGTTATGTTGTGATTGAGGCAGCTTCTGGTGGCGAGTTACTCTTCAGGTTCTTCTGAGCTGGAGTCTGCTTGGACAGGCCTGAAATTCACTGACAGACATGAAAATTGCTGTTTTGTTTTGTTTTTTCACAAGAGTGAAAGCCTTAATGTCAATGCAATACTCTAAACCTTTTCTGGGGAATGCTTGAGGGCCCCTCCCTATGTCTGCACTGTGTAGAAATGGGATTTTGCAGCCTGCTGGAGTGACACATCCTTGTCTATAATGCTCCCTGCATCTTATTTGCTAAGCATTGCTGTCTGCCCTTGCTTTTAGGTTGGCAAGTTGCTCTTTTCACCAGCCTCGCAGAACCATGAAAATACACTTGCCTGCCCTCAGCACAGTGCCTCTGTGACAAAAGAGATAATGCTGCCGGTCAAAAATGACCCTAGGAAATGGGAAAGCAGAGATTGTAAAGCTGCTTTTATAGCCACCCTGTTGGCACAGTGTCCGTTGCTTTTGGTTTCTCCTTTTTTTCAGTATTGGAGCCCAAAAAGCTAGGGATTTCTTTAATATAAAAGCATTGTGTTGATCCTGTGTAACGAGCTGATTTTGTGTTCTGCGAGGTTGATGGCCAGCAAAGACCTTCATTCTCTAAGGGGAAGAGCAGCTCCTATTGCCTACAGAAAGTTATCTCACCAGCTTCAGAGCAACGTACAGAACTTTGTCCAAAGCATTTGGTCCTAAGGAATCTCTTAAGAGAGAACAAGAAAAGCGGCAGAAAACAAAAAACAAACCAAAAAAATTGTTCTTTAAAGTCCGTGTCTTGTGGAAACTTGCTCTGTATGAAGTTGACAACACCACCCCTGTTGTGTTCTGTCATGATGTGTTTGGAAGCATTTAGTAGGACACCTCAAAGAATTCACTCTGGGCTTTTCAGGAATTCTTCTTCACCCGAAGTTGGATGTTTTAGTTCGAATGTTGCCATTTCCTGTGTGGTACCTGTTGTGGGTCCCTTTTTCCACAAAACTCTTAACAATCTTGTTGCTCAGTGATGTTCACTCTCCATCATCTTTTGCAGAATTACAGAAGACTCTGCAGTGACAACATTTGAAGCGTTAAAGGCTCGTGTCCGTGAGTTAGAAAGGCAGCTTTCCCGTGGGGACCGCTATAAATGTCTCATTTGCATGGTGAGTAGCACTCCACTTGTGGTAATGAATCAGAAATGTCTTGCTATCTTTGCCGAGGAGGGGAGAAGTTTTTCTCCCTTTTCGAGTGGAGTGGGGGAACTTATCTTTGTCCCTATACTCCAATTAGCCTTCCAAATGAAGGGGCTAGGTCTTTTTAGCAATTGAAGTTTCTGTATGCATTACATTGTTCCGTTGGTATTTGTAGCTGTCCATCTGTATCAGGGGCAAGAAAGCCCCAACTTCGGAAGACTTTCAGCCTTCCTATAGAAAACTCCCAGATACCAGTATGTGCTGGTGCAGATTTACATACACAGGAGAGAGCAGAATCTGTGATCTGAGACCCACCGTATGATTTGCGAACAGGAATGTTGCCTGAGCATTTAAAAGTTGTCCATGTCCTGCTTGCTCTGTGGTGATGCTGTGGCCTTCTTAAAGAAGGGCAGCAGCTCCCTCTGATGGTCTGAGCCTGCAAAGCTTTGCATCTCCTGTTAGGTTTTTATTCTGATAGTGGGAGAAAATCCTGGTTGGTGAAGGGCTCCCTCTGCAACTTCAGCTTGATTCGTGGTGCTCTCTCTACCAGCTCATGACTTGTGAGTATGGGGGTGCAGTCCCCATCTCTCATCCCACAGAAGGGACAACAGCTTGCTGCTGACTTCCAGAGGTTTATTAGCAATGATAGAAAATACTCAAGAGAAGGCATGTCTGCTGAAATAGCAGCAGCATTCTTGGGATGTAGTTAAGCTCTTCCTGCAGAACTAAGAATTGTGATAAGGGTTAATCTTACCCTGTCACTGATTTTTGTATGATCTGGTGACCTTTCTCATGGGAATAATGGCAGGTGGCCACAGCAACTTCAGATGCTCTTGTGATAACTGTGCTGAGCCAGGTCACCACTTGAGTGGATTATGGGCTTCTACAGGAGTTCTGGGAAGCCAGAAAAATGGACTGCAGGAGACTTTCTGCCTCTACTACACAAACATTACAAAAATACAAACTTACATATTACACAAGCTTGGTTTTTTTAAGTACAAAATACAAGGCAATGTTACCCACAAAGAAAGGTGTTGTGATGGGGTTGGGAGTGAAGAATCAGTAGATCCCTGCTGTGGAAATAACCTGTTTGCTTCTTCTCCTCAGGACTCCTACACAATGCCCCTGACTTCCATTCAGTGCTGGCATGTGCACTGTGAAGAATGCTGGCTGCGGACTCTGGTGAGGCTCTTGGCTACTTTCTTGTTGACTTACAGACTTTTTCCTCTCTTCTGGGATGCTTTATTTGAATCACCACGGGAAAGGTGCTTTTTGCTTTATTTTAAATAATGTGAGTGCTGTGCATGCAGACTTCCCAAGCCTTGCTGTTTAACACTCCACTCTAGCTTTGACTTGAGTGAGTTTCGTTGGAGTCGTCGTGACCAAAGTACAGTCCTGCCCCTTGCTTGCTCCTCTGCTGCTGTGGGGACAGCCGTTGCTCATGTAAGAGCTCTGTGCCAAGCAACCTTGCCTTACAGTAATTTCCTGTGGGGCATCCATGCAAAGAGGTAAAGCTGTGAAAGTGGAGGCCAAATCCACTGAGATTCATGGAATGGGTAGCTTCCGAGAAACCTAATATTCCCCTGAAGCAAAGGGAATCATCTTCAGGATAGATGATATGGAAGGAAGCTTTTATGAATATGAATCTATAATTTTCAGATTATTTGAAATAGCACCGTGCAGTTTTCAAGCATATGCCATTCTGTTTGGAAGATTGGTGTCTACCTTGAACATTGAATAGGTGATCCAATGCAGTATTAATTTATACATATATTAGACATTAGGTTAAAATTCAAGGTGTTACTAAATAAAGTGTTTTCCTTTCCTTTGTTAAAACTGTGGGCTTTATAATCAGCCCTTCATTTCCCCTGTGCAGCTGATTTTCAAGCTTTCATTTTATTCAGGCTGGGGAGTGGAAAATAGTCAGTTGTGCTTTCTAGTTCTCTTGCTAGCAAGATGATACAGTGTTGGGTTGCAAAAAACGTAAGGGAATGCCACTCCTAAAAATTGTTCCTGTAAGGCATTACAAAATCTACTTTATAGAACACGTTGTGCGCTTGGAATTACGATTAAGCCGATCATGCTCCTTTAAATCCTGCCTTTTAAAAGTCTTGTCCAAGAAAAGTTACCAGGACGGTGAAGTGCCTGTGGGCTTGAGTACTAATAGCAACTCAATAACTTGGCTATCCCTTGGGCTGTATTTTATAGCTCTTCAGCTACACCCCGTCACTATTTAGGTTATACAAGCTTTTGTAAACATTTTAGCAGCGTGTTATAAAAGACACATATGTGGGTACCTAGCTGTGAGATGTTTGGATGAATGTGTGCTCTGCCACCTTTGCTAAGTGAAGAGTAATCTTGTCCTTCAGCGATGCGACAAGCACAGGATAAAACACTAATTTCTTTTTCATTTTCTTTACTCTGAAGTCTTTGTCCTCTCCTCTTCCCACAGCCTCAAGTCATCTTCTAAATCTGTGGCACCAATTTCAGGCTGTTCTTGGGCTCAGCAGCAACTTAGTTCAACTTCAGTCAGGCCCCTTTGTTTCATGTGCAGCAGTCACGGCTGCTCATAAGGACTGGGAAATCCCACTCCAGGTGCTCAGGGGTTAGCATTTTCCCTTGCAGAGGGGGAGCCATCTCTCCTCTAGATATCCATGAGGAAGGTGGCGATCAAGCTGGCTATGTGCTATCCGCACATGGCTCTTCTGCCGACCAGGCAGGCGGGATGGGAATAGTCCAGCAAGACATCGTATTAGGACTTGGCACTTGCATAGGGGAAGCAATTAATAAGTGGCTACTCATGTGTTCCCCAGTCCTAGCCTCTCCCTGCAGCCCCAATTTATTAAACCAGGCCTTTTCACAAGGCATGCTTGCACTCCCTCTCCTGTCTCAGAAAAAATCTCCCAGCCTGTGTTCGCATGTTTCTAATGTAACCATTAAAATGTAGCCCGAAGACAGCAATAAAAACCCTGGAACGCCTTGGTGCTTTTGTGTCTTGATCAAAGTCAATGTGTGTAATCTCGTTAAGACTGCCCTCCTTCCCCCCTCCTTTTTTATGAATTTAATGGCATACAGCAGCTGGGCTCAGTGTTTAATGCTCACCAACCTGCATTGTTCTAATTAAGGTATCTCCTTTTATTTCGGGCACAAAAGAGACTCTTGTTTTTTTTAACAAGCGAGGAGCTGTGGGATAGTGTGTGTAATAATCGCCGCTGTTACCTTTCCCTGGGTATAAAGCTGGCTCCCCAGCGGGGGCAGGAGGAGGGAGCCCGCGCGTGCTGCACACATGGAAAGACTTGGCTGGGGGAGAGGGGCAACATTTTTCTTCTGTTGTGCAATAAACAATTTGTTGGAGTTAATAGGAGTTGGGGCGGAGGGGTTGTGTCGGGCTTCCGGCCCCTTTTGAACATTCTGGAGATCTGCCATCCCTGCTGGTGAAAAGTCCCCTTTCTCCTGCGCGCCTGTGGTTTATACGCCCAGCCAAGATCTAATATTAAATTAGAGCCTGAGTGTGTTTGTGAGAGAGAGGGAGAACCATGTATTGAACAAGGCCTTGAAACTGAAGGCTCAGAGTGCCTGGGAGCACTTCTAAACCTCTACAGGGTATTGAAGACGGGGTGAAATTTGGTGGTATGGACCAGAGGAGGTGAAGTGGTTTTTAAAAGGTTTAAGGTTTAAACATTTTCTAGGATATGGTGGTACAATGATCTGAGCATCTCTAGTATGCTCTGACTTCCATGGTGTCTAGGGCACTGAGGAGGATTGGATCTTCAAAGTGCTTAGGCTTTCTGAAAATAAAATTTTTGGACTTTTAGCTCTTGATGTCCAATTGCAAATTATGACTGTTCTGTTGCTAAGGGAGAGGGGGAGACATTTTTAGCCACCAACTCTACAAATGGCTGCTGGGCTCTCTAGCTTGGGTGCCATTATACTAGAACTCAATGAATCAAACTAGCTCCAAGTTCTGGGGATGAAACATCCGCTGGACCAGACTCCACCTCTATCTCCTGTTGCTGTGTTGGATTACCATGAAGGAAAGGCTGGGGTCGCAGAAAGGGACCCTGGAGATGGCTTAAGAGAACCGAGATCGTGGCGCTTGCTGAGTTAGCCAGCTCCTCAGTGCCAATAGAAGCTGCTTGGTTAGACGGTCCTCCTCAGGGTGGCCATGGAGAAACGGAGGAACCATCCCTTCACTCACCGTCAGGACATGGTGAGTGAGTGTTTTTCTCTCCTTCCACTTGCCCTGTGAGCAGAACCAGTCTGCCTGAGGGCTGTGGTCCAGGGGCCGCAGGCTAAAGTTGTGCTGTATGCTGCATACGCTGTTGGCAGCTCTGTGGTTGTAGGCATAACAGGAATGGAGATGGGGAGAGGGATACAAGAATGTGTTACTTGATGCCATGTGATCGTGCCTGGTTTCCCAGGAAATCATGTTAGCTGTTTTGTCAGCTAGGTTTGTCTGCTGGTTTTGTATTGCTGTGTCAAACCACACTGATGAGCTTGCTACTCCTGACTTGCTGGTTGTCTGGGGCACTCAACACAGTGACGTTTTTCATTCATCCATCCTGCATGTAGAGAGCTAGTTGATATCTTCAAGTTACGCAGAAACGGGGACACAGGCTAGTGTCCTTGAGTGTCTTCTAGGAGTCCTAAGAGTGACTTCCCTGTGATCCCTTTTGGAAACCCCTGAAAACACGTGGAGGTTCTTCAAAGACAGGAGGGGAAATGGTGTTGCAGGAGGGAGGCTTAGCCTGGGCAGCAGGAGGTGGGGTTCATTTCCCTGAATGTCGACTGTCCTTGCGGCAGGTGTCCATCCTCAACTGGTTGTTGGACTGCAGCCCTGAGTCACTGGATGATGGGGGATGAATCTGCCTCTGGAAGAGGTTTGTCTGCTGCTTCTCTATCCTTCCCTATTAACCAAGAGGGACCCTACAGCTACTAGTGGGTGAAATTCATATTTTCCTTCTCCTGGGAAGAGTGCTCTGACAGTAAAGATCGGCAATCTGCTGCAGTGCTTTGCTGAGAAGGTTTAGAGCCTCCATCCTTGGAGGTTTGTGAGAACAGGTTTGATGCATGTCCATCAGCAGTAATTCAGGTTGAGGAGATCTTGCTGGGGAATGGGTTGGGGAGTTCTTGATGTCCCTCTGAGGTGTGGTTCTGTGATTTCCCAAACGCTGGTATCCTTCCTTACGAAGTAAATGGAGTTAAAAACTAAGTCACGCTGTTGTTTGCCAGTGATGGAGCTGTTGGTGGGTGCAGGTGTGCAGGGGCTGAAAGAGGGCAGGTTTATTTGAGCAGGTGCAGTTTGCTGAGTTTCCCCCATCGCCTGTACAGCCAGATCCAGCATTTCCTATGTGTGTTTGCTGACCCCAGGCTTGTACTTGCCTGTCTTGGGCTTATTGGAAAATGACAACTGCAAGAGCAGGAAAAAATCACTTCTAAAAAGCCTTCTTCGTCACAGAATGTGCTTCCAGGGGACCCATCGGTAGATATGTATGCTCTGCAGTTGACACATTTATATCTTTGGTAGATTACACTACTACGTTCTTAGCCTTGTCGCTTTTTCTAGGCTATAATACCGTATATCCCATGCGGGCTGGAGTGTTTTTTTAAGAAACAGTGCAGATACAGAGCAATCCTTCTGGGTGATTCCTTAGTGCTTCCAGCAACATAGGGACCTTCTGAGTTAGCAGCTACTAACTGCTGCGCTTGATCCTTTATGATGTTCCTATCTGCCATGAGGTTGTCAGGTTATTTATTAACATATTTCAGTTTGGGCCTCCAACAACCAGGGGGGGTGAGCTCCACCCTTTGAGGAGGCTCTGTGAAAAAGGTTGCTCTCCTGATTGCTTTACCCCTATTGCCTGACAACTGGAGGTACCCCATGATGGCAGTGGTGAATGGCTGCTTCTGGGAATTAGCATTTGCAGAGGAGAAGCTGCCACTTCATGTGCAGGCGTGGGGGGAAGGGGCTGTTGCCTTGGTTGAGAATTGAATCTTGGAGTTCGATTCCTCTCCTGGCAGAAGCTGACTCTTGGTTTGGGTCCCTATCATCTCTCTGCTTTGGTTTTCCTTCCTATAAAATAGGCAAGCTTTGAGCCCAGGTTTGACGGTGGCCCTGTGTAGGCGAAGTTGCTCTGTGTGTGTGTCTCTTTATTCTCTGTGCCTGATAGCATATTCTGCTTGGAAATTGCCCATTTTTAGACCCACAGGACAGCAGGAAGTGCCTAAATCCTTCCTTTTGAGTTTTCTTGCTTTAGCCAATTTATAGCAGACGTCACGCCATTTTTTTTTTTAAGAGGCAACTTTAAGACAAAATACTCCAATCCTTCCTGGCACCATGTGAGCCCTAATGACTTCTCAACATCTCAGCTCTCGTTAATGTATTTTTCAAACTACTACCCCAAGTGATTAGCCTGTATTGTGGATCAATCACTTGCCAAATTTTAATTAAGAAAGGAGGAGAAAAAATAAACTCCATCCTGGTTCCAGCCCCTTTGCTTTGCTTTGTAACAGCCCTGGAGCAAACTTCTTGCAGCAGAGTTTTATAAACCCCTCAAAACTGGGGTTTGTAATGGAAAAGCTGAGGTGGCCTTTACTCTAGCACACGCAGCTATAACACATCAAGGCTTTTCCATGAAGCTATGATGAAAGGAGCAGAAGGACCTGGAAAAAAAAGAAAGAAAGAAATGGCCGACAGGTGGGACTTATTATTCCACAGCATTTTTATTTCAAGGGAAAAGTTTAGTAACCCCAGCTGGCAGGTGAGCAGTGGGGGAGCAAATGCTTTTTCATTGTGCCTGTGCCAGCATGTGTGTGTGTACAAGCTTATGTGCCTCTCTACAAGAGAGGAGAGCTTAAATGCTAGTGCCAATAAATGTTGTACATCTACACCGAAAAGTCAGATGTAAGGAACAAGGTTCTAAGCAATTTCAATCTAAAAAGAAAAAATCAGGACTTAGTTCTGAATTTAACACACATGCTTATGTGTGCAGAGGATGACAGTTTTATTTAAAAAAAAAAAAGAAAAAAAGAAAAAGGCTTCCCCAAGGGTCCAAAGTCATTATTTTTGCTTGAACTGTTTAATACGAAGCGTAAGTACTAGGGAGACCCAGAGACCTGGGCCCGGCGTGCCATGTGCAGTCAACCTGTGCAGCATTCAGGCCAGGCTGCCTTCAGGTCTCTAGGATGCCGTTGTTCCCTCCGATGTACCCGGGCTTCAGAGCTCCAGATGAGCTGCCCTTCCCACGTGCAGGTGAAGCAACATCCACCACTGCCCTAAATCAATCTGCGGTCACGTAGCTTTTGCAGAAAATGGGTCAAGCTATATGTGGTTAGGTTCTGCTTTCTGGCGTGGTCAAAAACTTGGCCCTGGCTGTCCCTGTGCAGCTCTCAGACTTCGGTGGGGAGCGTGGATCCCCCTAAAGCCATCAACATGTGGTGCAGAAAGCAGATCTCCGGGACAGAGATCCTGGGGTCTGGCAGGATAAATCCACCCATCTTCCCTTTCCCTGTGGTGTGAAGGAATTGCATACCTGACCTTTCTTTGCCATGAGAGAGAGGAGCAAAGCTGCAGTCGGTTTAATCAGGCTTGTTCTGCCATCCTGAGTGCGGAGGACTTGTGCTTATAGCGAGCACCTGCGCGGCCTTTGGAGGGACCTGGGCAGGGTGGCTTTCCAGGAATCTGTTCTTCCGAAATTATGCACATTGAGCTGTCTAGTCTGTGTGAGCAAGATTGCCCTCACTATGGGTCACATACATCTGCCTGCAGCTGTCTCAGTCCACCTCCAAATCCCAGAACGGAGCACGAGATGCCAGACAGTGAGATGGCAGCTGAGATTTAGCAAAAATGAACTCAAGGAGGTTCAGTGCTCCTCCCCACCCACCTACAGCCAAACATCTCCAACTTCAGCAGAGCTAAAGGAAAATCACTGCTGAATGCTTTTCAGCTTTGCACAGGAGCACTGAGGAATAGGGGGACATGGGTTTAGGTGGCAGCAAGCACTTCCCTTTGTCCTTCGCCCCAGACTGAAGGCAGGCTGAGGCATTTGGTGAGTCAGGAAACTGGTCCTGCAGAAGGTACGTCTCCCTGGTGCATTGTCCGGAGAAGCAGAAGCTCCAGCTACTTGGTTGGATGCTTTGCTGCCTCTTGCCAATAAGCTGTGCCTGTCTTGGGAAGGAGAGCATGGACACAGACCTGTGCAGTAGTCACATCTGGAATGCCTTAAAGTCCCCATGCACACTTACTTCTGCTTGTCAGGGCACACAGGAAAGCTTGAACGGGCAGCTGCCAACTGCTGCCCCTTTGACAACATGCTGTGAATTAATTCCTCAGCACCTCCCTGTCACTTCCCCTGGGACCTTCCAGCTACAAAGATCATGCCAAGAGGCCAACCAGATGCAACAGGAACGTCTGAGGACCAAGGAGCTGCATGGCGATGCAGGCCTGAACTAGGACTCAGTTGAAACAGGCTGTTTCGTAGCATTTGCATCCCAGATTAGCGAGCCCCTCCTTGGCAGTGCTGCTATGTAGCCTGGCCCACAGTGGCTTTAAAGGTAGCGGAAGGGGCAGATGTTGAGATTTTTCTCTCTTACCTGTTGCAGCTGCTGCAGGAAGTTTTTACTGCGACATGCAGGGTTAGAGCTTGCCGTTTTCTAATGCTGGAGATCCAAAGCTCTGGTCTTGAGCACAAGTGGAGAGGCGTGTTGTATAAACAGGCTCTGTTAAAGTCCAGCGCAGTCAGTCTTCGATTTCATTAGGGTTTTAATCCTTTCCTTCCAGTTGTGGTTCGAGCTTGTGCTTCCCAGAATCCAGCATGGCAAGTCCACTCTGTGAAGAGTAGGGGCTGCCCGATGCGTTGCACAGGCACAGTGAGGTGGTCCTTGCCCCAAAAAGCTGGAAATCTAAACAGGCACAGTAGTTAGAGTGGGGATAAGATAGGTCCCAGGCAGCTAGAAGGATGTGCCCACCGGCATCAGCACCAGAACAAGATACACCATCCAGACTGCCAGTGGTCTGTCCCACTGCCAGTTTGTCACTCACCCTGAGAGTGATGTCCAAGGTGACTTGGGTGTCCGTTACGTGTTTAATTCAACTCTAGTTCAACAGAACTTTGTGTGTGGCTGTTTTAGATCTCAGGTGCAAGTACCTGTGGTTCCTACATGTGTCAGGGCAGCGGCTCAGCTGCTAGCAGCAAGGGGTATCAAATGGGAGCCTGATTGCTCAGAAGTCCAAAGCTCGGGGAACAGCGAATGTGCAAAATCCATGTCTGCCAGGAATAATGTGCACTGGGAGCAGGAAGGGGGCTGGTTTGAGGCTAGTCTGGGGGGGCTTGTTGGTAGTACTCAAGACTGCAGAGCAAACATGACTTGCACGTCTTCGGAGCAACATCCCTGTGAATTACTTGTACCCATGTAAATTTTCTGTACCTGGGACTCTCTCCTCCAGATTCTCCATAGTCTGGGGAGCTTCCAGGGGAGAAAACCCCTGTCTTCTCTCTGCAGGTGTTGTCACAGAGCAGAAAGGACCTTTTCTAAGGACTCTTGCCTTTTGTAAGCAGCAGTGCCAGGTCCTCTGCTAGGGATGTCCCCAAATGCAGGTAGCAGTACCGAAGCAGTCACGGTCCTGCCCTGCTACTCAGTCCACGTCCTGCAAGCTGACGCGCTCACTGCTGCAGGTACTGAAACAAGCCCTGCTAAGGGAGAGCAGCAGCATCACTGAACCGAACAGCTTCAGTTCTGCCAGCAAGCCCTGTGCAAGCTGGCAGGCTTTCACAAGGCATGTTGCATCCCTGTCAGCTCGCTTCTCATGCTGAGCGCTGGGCGTTAGCTGCTGGAAGGGCCTGTCTGATAGCAGTGAGCAAAACTCGGGGTGCTCAGACAGAGCCTGTGCTCAGTTCTGTGCAACGGGAGGTTGTGTTGAGGCTGCGGTCGGTGTTGAAAGCCAGGGCATCCCAATTTCCTGCACTGCTGCTGCTGTAGACGGGAGGCTGCCTCGCAGCAGAGCCATCTTTCTGTCATTTTTCCCATCAACTGTCTGTCACATCTGCCAATCTAATGATGACCGGCTTAGGTTGACCCCGATTCCTGAGGCTTATTAACATCCTCTTGCTGTCAGGCTTGGTGACAGATGGCACATCAGCCCTTGTTTTATTTCATGTAGTGTTCATGTCGGCCACCCATTACCTCTCCCCAGTTCAGAGTTTACCAGTTCCAGCTCATCTTGGCAGAACAGACTCGTCTCCACAGCATCTCTGCAAGCTGCAGGAGGACAGGACAGGGGTTTCCTTCATGCCAGCAGCTCTGGGGCTTTTGCAGGATGGCTGAGGCAGTCCCGCAGTGTTCTGCCCTGAAAGGCGTGTCCAACCCCACCATGAACCGGTTCAGTCATCCCAGCTAAAAACTGCACTTGTTCTGGCTGGGTTGGTTTTCTGCCGGCTCAGTGACCTGAACTGGCTCATCAGGGGCTGCAGGTGAGCAAGGGAAGCAGAAGGGAGCAGATCTGCCTGGCAGCCAGTGACGACAGTGCAGTGGGACGGGGGGCTCAGGCCAATCCGTCTGCAGAGGCTCCTCTCCCCGGGGCTGCTGAGTTTGGTGACACATCTTGGCTCTGGGTTTCAGCCTCCTGCAGAGCTCCCGCCTGCCCAGCCACCTCATGCTGGGGGCTGAAGTGGGGCAAGGGTCTTGCAGGGCAGGCAAGGAAGGCATTGGGGCTCCCCCTTCTCACAGCTTGTGCCTGCCGTTGGAGGGCATGGCCCTGCCTGGAGGGGAAGCGGGGTGGCCTTGCTCCCCCTGTTCCTGTGCTGCTCCCCCTGAGATCCCAGGCCAAGGGCAGAGTCATGCGGGTTGTCCTCCTTCACTCTCTCACGCTGTTCGTCTCGTCTGCCGGTTGCAGGGTGCCAAGAAGCTCTGTCCCCAGTGTAACACCATCACGTCTCCCGGAGACCTTCGGCGCATCTACTTATGAAGGACCCAGCGGGAGGGCGGGACCCAGCTACTCGGCTCAGCTCATCACACCAAGGGGGAGAAGAACGACAGCAACAAAAAAAAGACGTTTTAAAATTTTAAAAAAAAAAACAACAGAGACTCCAAACATGGACTCGAGGATACAGGAGAAGGATACAGAACCAGTGGGGAGCCGTGGCCCCCAGGTCCCGCGTGTTGAGACCTCCTTCCAGCGTCTGCAGCGGGCAAAACCAAACCCTTTGTTGTGAAGCCCCCTTTTTTAAAACCAGTATTCCCCATCCACCCGTTCCCTGGAGCTGGCTTTGCATCGCGGATGGCTTGTGAGCCCTCCTTTGGACTGTGTTGTTGACCACTCTGCCCCCAGGAGACTGGGGAAGAGACCCTTGACAGAAAGATGTTAAATAACCTGTAACTTGTGTTCTTTGTTCAGTTTTTTGTTTTGTTTTTATTTGTTTTGGTTTGGTTTTTGGTTTGGTTCTGTTTTGCTTTTTTGTGGTGTTCTAGTGATAAAAAAAGGTTTAAAGAAAAAAACAACACACCCAGGCAGAAATGAAGCACATGTAATATAGATTATATATGTTTACAATGTTGTGTATAAATGGGATAGACTCAAAACATTACATACTAATAAGTTTCCCTTTCTTTTTTTTGGGTTGTATTTTTTTTAAAGAAGAAAAAAAAATGAGCAGAGAACATTAAACCCATATTTTTCTTGGTTCAGCAAAGTTTTGGCATTAAAGTCATTAGTTTAAAAAAAGTATATATATACA